GAGGAGGGGCAGTGTCAAAGGAGCCATCACCCCCTATACCGTAGAATGGACTGTGAGCGAGAGTCTCCCAGAGGCCACATGCCATTCCCTTCTGCCTGGAGGAGGGGCCCCAAGGAGAGGGGCAGCTCCTGCCTTACCTGTCACCACCAGGGGCTGGAGGTCACTCTGTTCTGACCAGCCATTGTGATATTCACACTGATATAGCCATGCATGGGGTGAGCTCCTGGATTGAAATCAGAAACTGGCCTTGTTGCAGGAATCCTGTAAGGTCTCCACGGAAAATGGCTCAGAGACCCTCTCTTTATAAGATAGGAAACATCAGGCTACAGAGATGCCTGACACCAGATGGTCACAGGGCTCCCCTTGGTGACCATGGGGCCGGGACCAGCCCAGATGGAGGGTTTGGGGAGGGACCTAGAAAGGAATCAGATGCAGAATTGCAAGGGTGGCCTTCTCCCATTTCCACCTGTCATGTCAAGGCCCCTCCCAGGCTGGTCACCATCAGCCAAACTCTCTGTGTCCCCAGCTGCCCAGGGGGTTGTTGGGTGGAGGCAGGAGGCCTGGGGAGCACTCAGCCACCTGTTTCCTGACCCCTGGGTTCCGACACAGCCCTGGAAGTTTCTGTAGACACAATATAGATAACAACGACAACATAAAGAGGTGAGGACAAAGACATTTATATGTTTGTAATGTTCCTACGTTTCACTTGAAGTAAAATACTGATTCTAACCTGATTGTGTAAAGTTAAGTATGTATATGATAATTCTAGAACAGCCACTTCAACAGAATCCAAAGAGATATAGTTAAAACACCAATAGGGAAATTAAACTGGAATACTAAAAATATTTTTTAAAGCCATGAAAAGGCAGAAAAGCAAAAATAGAAGAACAAACAAAAGAGGGGACAAACAAAAATAAAATGGGAAATCTAATAACAATCTTCTCAGGAATTACATTATATGTAAATGACCTAAACTCAACACTTAAAAGACAAAGATTTTAGGTGGGTTTAAGAAAAACTATAGGGGCACCTGAGTGGCTCAGTTGGTTAAGCGTCTGACTTCAGCTCAGGTCATGATCTCACAGCTTGTGAGTTCGAGCCCCACATCAGGCTCTGTGCTGACAGCTCAGAGCCTGGAGCCTGCCTCGGATTCTGTGTCCCTCTCTTGCTCTGCCCCTCCCCCACTCATGCTCTGTCTCTCTCTCTCTCAAGAATAAATAAAACATTCTCTGCCTGATGTATTTCGCTCAGCACAACACCCTCAAGTTCCATCCATGTTGCTACACATGGCCAGATTTCATTCTTTCTCATTGCCATGGAGTATTCCATTGTATAGATAAACCACATCTTCTTGATCCATTCGTCTGTTGATGGACACTTAGCAGAGAAGGACAGACACCATATGTTTGCATGTATAGGAGGATTAGGAGGAAGTTAACAGAAGGCCCGTTGGGGAGAAGAAGGGGGGAAATAGCGGGGTGAGAGGGAGGGAGGCAAACCATGAGAGACTCTTGAATGCTGAGAACAAACTGAGGACTGATTGGGGTCGGGGGGAGGGGAAGGGGGGATGACAGGCATGGAGGCAGTCACTTGTGGGGATGAGCACTGGGTGTTATATGGAAACCAACTTGACAATAAACTATTAAAAAAAGAATAAATAAAACATTAAATTAAAAAAATACAACTACAAGCAAGACTCTATTTGCAGTTTATAAGAAATTCACTTCAACTATAATGATGTAAATGAGTAAAAGGTAAAAGAATGAACAATGTGGATTAATCTTGAAAACACTGTACTAAGTAAAAAATCCAGACACAAAAAGTCTCATATTGTATGATTCCACTTATATGTACTACGTAGACAAATTCATGGACACAGGACACAGAGATTGACAGGGGCTGGTGGCAAAGGGGCATGGGAGTAATTATTTAATGGGTTAGGAGTTTCCATTTAGGATAATAACAATGTTCTGGAAATGGATAGTGGTGATGATTATCTAAGATGCTCAATGTACTTCATGCCACTGAATTACATACTTTAGTAATGGTTAAAATGGTGAATTTTATGTAATGTAACCACATGAAAAAGTAGAAGACGGGTGCCTGGGTGACTCAATCTGTTGAGTGTCTGTCTGACTTCAGCTCAGGTCATGATTTCATAGTTTGTGAGTTAGGAGGAATCCCACATCAGGGGCTGTGCTGACAGTGCACAGCATGGGGCCTGCTTCAGATTCTGTGTCCCCCCCCCCGCCCCTCCCCCACTCACACTCTGTCTCTCTCTCAAAAAACAAAAACATAAAAAAGAGGAAGAATGAAAAATGTACTATACAAACATTAATCAAAAGAAAATTTAAGTGGTTGTATTAGTTTCCAATTGCTGCTGTCATAAATGACCACAAACTTGGTGTCTTAAAACAACATAAAGTTATTATCTTATAATTCCTGAGGTCAGAAGTACAGAATCAGTCTCGCTGCCATAAAGTCAAGAAATAGGGGGACATTCACCTACTTTGTCTTCATCCAGAACTGGAAGGCTGAATGCAATTGATTTCTCAATATTGACCATATATCCAGTAAATCTGGAATTTTTAAATTTAACATACAGTGCAATCTTGGTTTCAGGAGTAGAACTGAGTGATTCATCACCTACATACAACACCCAGTGGTCATCCCAACAAGTGCCCTCCTCAATACTCATCCCCATCTAGCCCTCCCCAACCCACCTCTCTATATCAACCCTCAGTTTGTTCTCTATACTTAAGAGTCTTTATGATTTGCTTCCCTCTCTTCTCTCTCCTCCTACTTCATCTGTTTTCTTTCTTAAGTTTCACATATGAGTGAAATCATATATTTGTCTTTCTCTGATTGACTTATTTCACTTAGCATAATGCATTCTAGCTCCATCCACGGCATTGCAAATGGCAAGGAAACTTTTTAATTTGGGTAATAGATCTTTATATTATTTTTTATCTTCCGTGCAGACCCCTGTGTAATCCTGGAGCACTACAATTATTCTTCTTATCCATTTCAGTGCTTATCACTTTGTTTTGCTTCATTTAATTGGTTGGTACCTCCAATGAAATAAATTCAATGCCATGCTGAACACAAATGGTCATAGGAAACATACTTGGGTCATTCCCAATCACAGAGAGGACTTCAGGTTCTCGCCTTTCAAACGGATGACCGAGTGGTGATTGCTAAACATTCCTCCATAAGTTTTAAGAAACAATCTTTTATTTCTGATGAGTTTTTATTTTCATGATGAATTTTTGGTGTATTTTATCAAAAGCTTTGTCTGCATCTGTTGAGATTATTTATTTCTCAATTTTTAATTAAAGTACAGCTGACATATTAGCTTCATGCGAACAATATAATGATTCAACAATTACATACATTATGGGGGCATCTGGGTGGCTCAGTCGGTTAAGCGTCCAACTTCGGCTCAGGTCGTGATCTCGCAGTTCGTAGGTTCGAGCCCCAAGTCGGGCTCTGTGCTGACAGCTAGCTCAGAGCCTGGAACCTGCTTCTGTTTCTGTGTCTCCCTCACTCTCTGACCCTCCCCTGCTCATGCTGCCTCTCTGTCTCTCAGAAATAAATAAAACATTAATTTTTTAAAAAAACTCAATTACATACATTATGAAATGTACACTATAAGAAGTGTAGTTATCCAGTGTCAGAAACAAAATTACTACAATATTATTGACTACATTCCCCATGCTGTATTTTTCATCCCTGTGGCTCATTTGTTTTATGACTAGAAGTTTCTACCTCATAATCCCCTTCACTTGTTTCACCCATCTGCCCTCCCTTCTCCTCTGGCAACTGCGAGTTTGTGAGATGGTCATTTTTTTACTTATTCTGTTAATGTATTAGATTATAATGATTGATTTTTAGTGTTTTAAGCTACTCTGTTCTTCCTTTCTTCTGCAAAATCCAGTATGGTCATGGTGTATTGTCCTTTTCATATATTGCTGGACCTTATTTGTGAATGTTTTGGTTAGAGATTTACATCTAAGTTTATGTGAGAGATATTTCCATGCCTTTCCAATTCTGTAAATTCCTTGCCAGGGTTTGGTGTCAATATTTTCCTAGTCTGATAAAATATTACTTCTTTTTTTTCTTCTTTTATTCTCAGGAAAGTCTTGTGTAATTTTGATGTATGTGTACATGTGTGTGTGTTTCCTAAGTGCATAAGTGTTTGGAGGAAATTGCCTATGAAGCCTCCTCAACGGACACGTGTATATATTGAAAGATGATTATCACTGTGGCGTTAGTTAACACGTCCATCCCATAACACAGCTGCCTTTTTATGTGACGAGAACATTTAAGATCTGCTCTCTCTGCCACACTCAAGAAGAAGATATAGTATTATTCCATTGTATATATAAACCAGATCTTCTATATCCATTCATCAGTCGACGGACATTTGCGCTCCTGCCATTCTTTGGCTATTGTCAATAGCGCTGCTATAAACACTGGGGTGCGTGTGTCCCTTAGAAACAGCACACCTGTATCCCCTGAATCAATACCTAGTAGTGCAAGTGTGGGGCCGTAGAGTAGTTCTATTTTTAATTTTTTGAGGAAACCATACCGTTTTCCAGAGCAGCTGCACCAGTCTGCATTCCCACCAGCAGTGCAAACGGGTTCCTCTTTCTCCGCATCCTCACCAACATCTGTTGTTGCCTGAGTTAATTTTAGGCTTTTTCTTTTCTAATACGTTCGTTCCTGGTTCTTAATTTTCCTGTGCCACAGGTCTGATGTGTAGCGTTTACATTATCATTCAGTGTAAACATTCTCCCATTTCCATTTTGGTTTTCTCACTTCATTCGTGGATTATTGAGAAGTCCGTTTCTTTATTTCCAAAAACAGGCGCACAGCTATGTTTGATGGCAGAATCTGGTGGCTCCCAGAGGGTCCCACGGGTTCCTACTGGTCTATGTTAGGAGCCCAGGCTGGCTGGGGCCATTAGTTGGCCTGTGGGCAGTTCGTGTGCCTCCTGTGGTCCCCTCCCTGGAGTGTGGCGTGCGGGTCCTTCCTGAGCTAGTGGATGGCCAGAGCAGCATACACACTGGGCTCTTCTGGGGGCTCCCCGAGTTGGGAGGAATGAGGTGCACTCGTCTCCCGTCTGAGGGTCAAGCGGTTCAGCTGAGCGTAGGTCACATCTGGGGGGGCATCAGATGCAGTGGCCTGCAGTGGGGGGGGGTGAGAGGGGAGATGTGTGGTTGGGGTGGAGCGGGGAGCCTGGGAGCCTGGAGCAGAAGAACCCACCTGACTGTCCATCTGCCTGTCCTGCTCTCCTTGTCTGTCTTCTGTGTCTGGCAATACCCCCGACAGGGGGGAAGGAGAACTGACCAGTCCCCAACTGAGTCTTGATCTTGAGTGGCTCACCTGGGCATACATCATTCCTTGGGGGTCTGCATCCTGTGTGTTCCACTGGAGGCAGACAGTGAGGGGGAGATTTGTCTCCTTGATTCCACTCAGTGGCCTCAGTGAATTTTCCACACTGTTGCCAGAGCAGCTTAGGTCAAGTTCCTGGTGGACTCTGGAGAGACTTCCTGAGCCTTGGGGCATCTGGATGCTTTCTAGGGCTCAGAATCTATTCCTGACACCTTTTCCTGCTCATTTGGCTCCCATCACATGGCCCGTCTTCCCCCATCTTCCTGAAAAAGCATGTTGCAGCCTCAGGACCTTTGCACCTGCCACCCCCAGCTCTTTCTTTCCATTCCTTAGCCGCATTTTGCACTCAAGGGCACTGCCCACGTCCTTGCCCACAAGGGGAGCTCGCAGAGTGTGGGTCACATTTGCTCACTGTGCTCACTGTAGTGCCTGCAGCACTAGGTGGGGCCTGGTACACAGTGGGCCTCTGTGCACGTTTGATGGGCAAATGAATGAAGGGGCCTAGAGACCTGCGGGCGATTCCTTTGTTCATGCACCCTCTTGAGACCTGGGCATGCCCCCCAACAACCAGGAGTCAGACAGCCGAGAGGAGGCAGTCAAGGGGGCAGGTAGGAGGCCCTTCTAGGTCACAGCCAGAGGAGCCAGGGTGCCCAGGGAGAGAGAGGCCGTCTGCGGGACACTGCTAAGCTGGGTGGTGTGAGGACCAGGCCTGTCCATCGGTTCAAGTTCGCACCGGGAGGGCCCTCGGGGTCTAGGGGGGCAGGGGGCTCACCCGCTGGTCCAGCTCCACACCCTCCTCAGGCTGTGTGTCTTGCACGGCAGCATCTGCTGGGCAGAGGGGGTGCATCTCTTGGCAAGGTCCCCTGAGCTCTCTCAGGGCGCAGACCCCACCCTCCCGGAAGGGGCGGTGGTGATCCAGGTGAGGGGCCGAGGTCACACAGGCCCCGCCCCACCCCCCAGGGCGGCCCCATTGCTCTCACAGAGGGTCTCCTCCTGGGCGGCAGCAGCTGGCCTGGAGCTGGGGAGGAGATGGAGAGGGGGTTAGGGGGCATAAAGGGCAGAAGGGTGGGGGTCTGGGGTCTTCGGGCACAGGTTACCTGTCCTGCAGGCCTCTGTCCTTGGGCTCCGGGTCTGCGGCCCCTGCAGGAAGTTGGGAATCAGCCTCGCCCTGGGCTGGGAAGTTAGGACCCCACCCCAGGCCCGACCCCTTCCTAGCTGATCCCGGGGGAGAGGGGCCCCTAGGACTCACCGCCTGCGCTTCCCCATCTCCCGACGCGGAAGCGGGGAAACACCTTACACTGGCGCCCGGGGCGGCCTTAGGGGTCTTCTCTCTAGACGCTCTGACGGGAGACTCTGCAGACCGTCTTCCTACGCCGGCCCTTCCCGCGGCTGGTGCCCCTCTGCCCTGCGCCGCCCTCACCCGCGGGAGGGTCCCCACCCCCTGGGGCTGGTCACCCCGTCCCTTCTCACCCGGCTTCCTGCCTGCGCCCCGACGCCGGCGACGGACGAGGACGACCAGGAGGCAGAGCAGCAGCGCCAAGGCCCCCGCGGCCCCGATGAGGACGTACAGGTACCAGGTGAGGCCTTGGGCACAGGCACACCGCGAATGAGCCGGTGATGCGGTTTAGCTGAGCGCCTACTGTGTGCCAGGCACGTGCTGCCTGCCCACCCACCCCACAGACAGGAAACTGAGGCCCAGGGAGGCTGATCACGTGTCCCAGGGGGCCCAGCGTGGGGGCGGCAGGGCGGGGACAGGACCGGGCTGTGGGCGCCCTGTGCTCTCCTCACGCTGCCCCCAGGCCGACACCAGCGGGGGCTCTGGGCTCCTCGTCTGCAGGCGGGTGTGTCCCAGCCCCTCTGTCTGGGGCTGAGGGTCCTTCCACATTCCCCTTATTACCGGAAGTCCCAGCCACTGTCCTCCCGCCCCTCCCCCACAGGGTCATCGTCACTGCCGCAGAGGGTCAGGCCCCCATAGGATCAGGACCTGGAGGGGCTTCCCCGTGAGCCCTCCTCTCCCAGGGGGTCGGAGCCACCATCAGAACTAAGGGGAAATCTAATCTGGGCACAGCTCTCTCCTTTACACGTGGGGAAACTGAGGCCCAGACCGGGGAGGGGGGTGTCCAAGCCAGTGTCTCAGAGGTGCCTGAACCGACGGCATGCCTCACCCCTGCTCCCATAGACCCACCCGCCTCCTCCTGACAGACCCTCACTTACCCACGGAGGCTCCTGGGGTCAGGAGAGGGGGAGGGGTGGGGCTTCCCGCCCAGCTGGGCCCCCACCCTCTTCCTGTGCCATGACCACCCCAGCCCTCCTCCCCCCACCCCTGGGCCCAGAGCCCCTGGCCTGGGGGTCGCCCTGGCCTCTCTGAAACCCCAGGACAGAATCCCCCGTGACTCACCAGCTGCTGAGCCGGGACCTGTGGGGGAGGGGCCGGGGTCTCCCGAGGGCCCTGGGGAAACAGGCCATAGCTGAGGAGAGGGCTCAGCTTCACAGTCTCCTCCCTCCTGTGCTCTGTGGCCCCAGGGCCCTCTTCCACCTCCTGGAGAATCCTGGTGACAGGGACGAGGGAAGGGGCAGGGAGGGAGGGGCCTGTGTCCCTCCTGAGCTCTGAGGGGTGGACCCCCTGGTGACACTTCCCCAGAGCCCCTTCCGTCACGTCCACCCAGGGCTCTCCTGGGCACAGGCCCTGAAGTCAGTGTTGGGACACAGAGGAGACAGGGCTGGGACCTCACCTGAGACCAGCAGCTCCAGGGGCCCACTGGGCTGTGACAGCAGGTAGGGTGAGGTGCTATATGAGCCATAGCACCTGTAGGTCCCCCCCTGGGCTGAGGTCACAGGACTCATGGAGAATTCAGCCTGGTACTTCTCAGCTGGGTACTCTGATCTACGACGCAGGGGGGGGTCAGCTGCCCCCTCCTTGTACAGAAGGAAAGTGTCCACATGGTACCAGGACTGACACAGCAGGGTCACATTCTCTCCTGAGGTCACCGTGGATCCCGGCTGCACCGAGAGGGAGGGCGTGGGGGGGATCCATCCTAGAGAGAGGAAGGCGGGGGAGGGGCTGTCCATCCCTGTTCCCAACTGAGTCTGTCTATCCTCTGAGTCTCTCCCCTTCCCCATCCTCTGTCTCTCTCTCTCTCTCTTTCTCCCTCTGTCCCTCCCTGGGGACTCCACACCCCTGGTCCCGGCCACCACCCCCTGGGGCACCCCCAGCACAACCTGTGCAGGGTCTGGGGCCCTGACTGAACCCGTGTCCCCTCACCTGTGACCAGGATGTCCAGGGGGTCACTGGGGGCCGACCACTCGGAGGAGAGGTTGTGTCCACCATAGCAGGTGTACCGGCCCCCGTGGGATCTGCTCACTGGGCCCAGCGGGAAGTCGGCCCCAGAGAGCCCAGCCTGGGGCTGCCGGCCTTGGGGCTGGGGGGTGTCACGTGAGCCCTCCTTGTGCAGAGCGAACCTGTCATAGCCGACATCCGAGCGACACTGGAGGGTCAGGCTCTGTCCAGGGGACACCACAGGGCCCTGCGTGGTCAGGAGGGAGGGCTTCCTGGACACACCTGGGAGAAGACCAGCCGTGGATGGAGGGGTGGATCTCCCCACACCTCCCTTCTCCATCCTGACCCCCAGTCTCCCTGTCTCTCACCCTCTGTGTCTCTGACCTGTGAGATCCCCGTGGGCCCCTCACCCCACCTCTCATCTGGGGCTCCCCTGGGAGCAGAGCCTCCATAGCCTGTCTGCTGCCTCCAACATGGATGGGAAAAATCAGACTCTCTCACCTGAGACCAGCAGCTCCAGGGGCTCACTGGGGTGTGACAGCAGGTAGGGGAAGGCGCTATATGAGCCGTAGCACCTGTAGGTCCCCCCCTGGGCTGAGGTCACAGGACTCATGGAGAATTCGGCCTGGTACTTCTCAGCTGGGTACTCTGATCTACGACGCAGGGGGGGGTCGGCTGCCCCCTCCTTGGACAGAAGGAAAGTGTCCACACGGCGCCTGGACTGACACAGCAGGGTCACGTTCTGTCCTGAGGCCACCGTGGGTCCCGGCTGCACCGAGAGGGAGGGCAAGGAGGACAGCTGTCCTAGAGAGAGGAAGGCGGGGGAGGGGCTGTCCATCCCTGTTCCCAACTGAGTCTGTCTGTCCTCTGAGTCTCTCCCCTTCCCCCTCCCGTCTCTCTCTCTCCCTGGGGACCCCACACCCCTGGTCCCGGCCACCACCCCCTGGGGCACCCCCAGCACGACCTGTGCAGAGACTGGGGCCCTGACTGAACCCGTGTCCCCTCACCTGTGACCAGGATGTCCAGGGGGTCACTGGGGGCCGACCACTCGGAGGAGAGGTTGTGTCCACCATAGCAGGTGTACCGGCCCCCGTGGGATCTGCTCACTGGGCCCAGCGGGAAGTCGGCCCCAGAGAGCCCAGCCTGGGGCTGCCGGCCTTGGGGCTGGGGGGTGTCACGTGAGCCCTCCTTGTGCAGAGCGAACCTGTCATAGCCGACATCCGAGCGACACTGGAGGGTCAGGCTCTGTCCAGGGGACACCACAGGGCCCTGCGTGGTCAGGAGGGAGGGCTTCCTGGACACACCTGGGAGAAGACCGGCCGTGGATGGAGGGGTGGTTCTCCCCACACCTCCCTTCTCCATCCTGACCCCCAGTCTCCCTGTCTCTCACCCTCTGTGTCTCTGACCTGTGAGATCCCCGTGGGCCCCTCACCCCACCTCTCATCTGGGGCTCCCCTGGGAGCAGAGCCTGCATAACCTGCCTGGTGCCTCAAACATGGATGGGAAGAATCAGACTCTCTTACCTGATACCAGGAGGTCCAGGGCGTCACTGGGCCGTGACCACACCTGGGGGGAGTTGTTGTAATAGCCATAGCATCTGAACGTCCACCTGAGCCCGGGGGTCACGGGGCCCACAGGGAACAGGGCCTGGAACTGCCCATGGGTGGGTCGCTGGGAGTCCAGGGTCGAGGAGGGCCTGGGTTCTCCTTCCTTCATCAGGACGAACCTGTCGAATTTCTCCCATGAGGCACACTGGAGGGTCACATTCACTCCTGAGGTCACGATGGGGCTGGGCAGGGCTGAGAGACTGGGTTTGCCATAGGATCCTAGGAAAGGAGGAGGGGGCGGGTTAAATGGGGCTCAGATGCCCCCACGGTGTCCCCAGGGCTGGGCTGTGAGAGGGAGACATGCTGAGAGCAGACCCCCTCCCTGAGGGCAGAGCCTGGGGCTGGGACCCTGAGGGGCTCGCACCTGTCACCACCAGCTCCAGGGGGTCACTGCTCTCTGACGAGCCAGAGGGACTTAGATAGTGACAGCGATTCCGTCCTGCATACACATCTGTCATTTGTGTGATGGAGAACTTGGCCTTGTCCCCAGGCTCCAGTGGCTTCTGTCTGTCCCAGGTCACTGATTGTCCCTCTTTATCCAGAGAGAACTGCTGAGCCTCTATGGTCCCCTGACACCAGATGGTCACAGGTGTCCCCCAGGGGACCACAGGGCCTGGCTCAGCCCAGATGGTGGGTTTGGGAAGGGTCCCTGGAAGGAAACAGAGTCTGGATCACAAGACCTTCCCCACCCCCAGTTCCCAGCTCAGCCCCGAACCCCTAGAAGTCCCCTCTCAATCCACCCAGAACTGCTGTTCTCCATCCTCATATGCCTGGTGGGTGACCCCTGTCCCCAGTGAGAAGGTGGGATGGGGCCCCTGGGGACAGACTCACCTGCCTGCACTCGGGTCCTGGGGCCCACACTCAGCCCTGCAAGAGAATCCCTGAGAGGTTTGCCCCGAATCCTGAGCAGAACCCTCCTCCCCATGAGCCTCCTGTGCCTGGGGTCTCTGGCAGCCCAGGGCCTGGCTGTGAGGCAGGTCCCTCCCAGACTAGGGCGTCCCCTCCCCTCCTGAGATCTCACCGAGGAGGAGCAGGGCTGTGAGGGTGGGGGTCATGGCTTCCTCTCTCCTGCCCTGGTGTGCACAGGGAGGGACCTCAGTGCCTGCAAGTCAGACAGAAGTACAGGGTGTGGCCACTTGGGGGCTGGTCGCTGGTCATGGGGTTGTCACGTGTGCAGCCCCACCGGAAGGGGAACACCCTGGCTGTCATTTCCCCAGGGCTGAAGCTGGGTCAGGCGGCAGGCTTCGCAGTTGTTTCTGACCACATCTGAGGCCTCACCTGATCCGGAAACTGTTGTCTTCCTGGCCTGCTACCCCCTTGTGACCCAAGGTTCAACACGTATTTATGGAATATTTGCAATGTATCAGGCCCAGAAATGCGTCACTGGACAGGACTCATCAAACTAGTTTGCAAAGCTCATATTACCAAAACAAAACCCCCAGACCAAAAAAGAAACCTAATTAAAAACCGAGTATCTGGGGACACCTGGGTGTCTCAGTTGGTTAAGTGTCTGACTTCCGGCTCAGGTCACGATCTCACAGTTTGTGAGTTCAAGCCCCACGTCGGGCTCTGTGCTGACAGCTCAGAGCCTGGAGCCTGCTTTAGATTTTGTGTCTTCCTCTCTCTCTGCTCCCCCACTCATGCTCTGTCTCTCTCTCAAAAATAAATAAACATTAAAAAAAAAAACGGAGTATCTTGTGTATTATTTTCCTGTTGTGTTGCTGCCATAACCCATCACTAGAAGCTAGTGGGTTAATGCTGCACAGATTTACAATGGTACATTTTTGGAGGGCCGAAGTCCAAAGTGGACACACCTGAGTTTACATCTGAGTGTCCTCAGGCTGTGCTCCCAACTTCTTTTTAATGTTTATTTTTGAGAGACAGAGAGACAGAGCACAAGTGAGGGAGGGGCAGAGAAAGACGTCGGGGGTGGGGGGGTGTGGAGACACAGAATCTGAAACAGGCTCCAGGCTCTGAGCTGTCATCACAGAGCTGGATGAGAGGCTCGAACCCATGAACCGTGAGATCATGACCTGAGCTGAAGTCGGACGCCCACCCGACTGAGCCCCCCCAGGCCCCCCAGGCTGTGCTCCTTCTCAAGGCCCCGGTAGTGAATCTGTTCATTTGCCTTTCCTGTCATCTTCAAGACATCACATCGTTCCACCTTCTCTGGGGTCACTTCTTTGGCTCTGACCCCTTGCCTCCTTCTTTCTCTCATAAGGATCTTTATGATGACTCGAGGCCAGGCATTCCTTGTCTACAGGAGCCCAGGAGCAACCAGAAGGTCTTTCACAAGGGAGAGGAGCTCTCTGCAGAAGTGGCACAGAGTGGTTTCAAATCTCTAATATCTTTGACCTCCTTCATCCATATAGTTCCCCGCCCGCTCTATGGCAGGGTGCCGACCTCAGATGCCACAGGTGCTCCACATATCATTGCATCCCTTGGGTCATGCAACTCAGGCCAGGCCCACCGCAAAGATTTCTCTTGTTCCTGGAAACCACTCAAAACCAGCAGCCTCTCAAGACAAGCCTCTCAGTAAGTGGGGGGAGGTCGCACGCCCAGGGAGCTGTATGTTGTCTCCATGTTCCAAAGTTGGCCCACTGGGGAGGGAATTTCTGTCTGGTTCGCAGGAGGATTAGACGGAGCAATGAGTCCTCACCTTGGATGCGGTATCTCAACATGCCCCAGGCAGCTGTCCTCCTAGAGATTACACCGAGGCAGCAAGAACCTGAGATTTGGGGGAGACGGATTTCCCACACTCTTACAAAGCACCCAGAAGAGTCTCTACTTTCTGTTTCACGGATCCAATCAGCATGGTGTGTTCCTGTGTGATGTCCTGTGTAACGGAAGGGCAGTCGCAGTCCCCACAGCCTCGATAACACAGGGCTGGAGACACAACGCAGACCCAGATGTGGACAGTGACAGCATATTACTGGCCCTGATGGCTAACCACGCACTGAAACTGACGGCTTTGATGGAGACGGCCAAGAACATAAACCCACCAGTCAAGAGCCACACAGCAGGTGCCATGGGATAGGTGGGTCTTTTCTATGAGTAGAAGTGGAAACTGGAGGGGCGCCTGGGTAGCTTAGTCGGTTAAGCGTCCTACTTTCACTTAGGTCATGATCTCGCGGTTCGTGGGTTCGAGCCCCGCGTCGGGCTCTGTGTTGACTGCCAGCTCAGAGCCTGGAGCCTGTTTCAGTCTGTGACTCCCTCTCTCTCTGACCCTCCCCTGCTCATGCTGTCTCTCTCTCTCTCTCTCTCCTAGAAATAAATAAAACATTAAAAAAAGAAAAGAAGTGGAAACTGGAATTACCTGATACACTGGTTCTCTGCGGTCCGCCTCTGCCTTCTGTGAAAACCAATTCGGCGAGTTGAGTAGGGATGTAGAAGACATCACTGCCTCTGTATCTTTTGAGTTCTTGATAGTGGTACAAATCTGTGCAATCTCTTCAAGAATGCAGAATTACTGGAGCGCCTGGGTGGCTCAGTCGGTTGAGCATCCGATTTCAGCTCAGGTCATGATCTCGTGGTTTGTGAGTTCGAGCCCCACATCAGGGTCACTGCTCTCAGCCTGTCAGCTGGTCTGACCTGTCAGCCTGTCAGCCTCCACGCTCACTGGCCCACTCAGATGTCAGTAATTTGGGGGTCTCCAGAAGTAACTGAATATTTAACAAAATGGTAAGGTCAACAATTCATGTTTCAGTAAAAACAAAACAAAACAAAATCCACAGGAGACAAGAGGTTGCTATTTTACCAATAAAGAAGGCAATTACATTGTTTTTATTTTTTTGTTTTTATTTTTTATTTTATTTATTTTTTTTAAATATTTTTTTATTTATTTCTAGGACAGAGAGAGAGAGAGACAGTGTGAACAGGGGAGGGTCAGAGAGAGAGGGAGTCACAGACTCTGAAATAGGCTCCAGGCTCTGAGCTGGCAGTCAGCACAGAGCCCGACGCGGGGCTCGAACCCACGAACCGCGAGATCATGACCTAAGCGAAAGTCGGACGCCCAACCGACTAAGCCACCCAGGCGCCCCAGAAGGCAATTACATTGTTTTTAAATGAGGGGAGACAAAATGCTCAGAAACTGAAAAGCCTGCCCACAGGGCATGGCAATTGTGTCCACTCTCAACTTCCAACACCTTCTGAAAAGTGAATGTGCGTGCGGCACAGGTCCTAACTTCCTCCTCTCTGGGAAACATTCTCCTGGAAAGAACTCCTCATCCCCATTTCTCCTACTCAGAAATTCTTACCCTGTTACTTCCCATTTCAGAGTAGATACCAGATCTGAATGTGCCTCTCTTGGTGAGTCTCCACTCCCACCTCGGCCTGATCATCTCCTGAATTCCCACCCCGAGGCTCCCCTTCACCTATAGATCCAATAAAATCTCACCTGGGGTCTAGGACTTGCATTGAAGTGACAAAGTTTGCATTTCAAGCTGATTGTATGCTATTAACACACACATTGTCTCTCCCTGCCTCAAAAACTATTGTCCCTGACAGGGCAGGCTGTGCATTTCAGCATTTGTTATAATGACTCTGTACACAAACGAAAGGAATTAAGCAACGAGTTGTCCCATGGAATTACAAACCACATCTTCTCAGTGCTGAATCATCAGCCAACTCACGCTGTGCTCCAGCATGTAGAAGACAATAAGTGTACATTTATATAGCAAATAAACACATTACGAATGCTTGGATAATATTTGCTTAATCGATCACCAATGCTTAATTTAAGACTATTTATGAATGAATAGTAAATTGATAACACACCACCAAGAAGATAAATTTGAGGGGAATTTTAACGTGGAATTCAAGGCTCATTCTAAAAGTACAAAATGGTGTCATAAAAATATGACTCACTTTCCTTCCCCACAGAGTAAGGCAGAGGATGGTGGTGAGTTTCACAACCTCAGTGATGTCCCTGCCTCAGAGCCTGGAAGGCCAGGCTGAGCAGAAGAATGCATGAGTAGGCATCATGACCTTCCTACCCCCACCCACATTTTGACACTGAAATTTTACAGGAAGCTGAACAGCTATTTCCCCATTCGTCAGTCTCTGTAGTGGTCCCAAATACGATGTGGACTTCTCCTTTCTCAGATAACCATTTCTACCTCTGCTAAGCACACAGTTGTGCGTTCCAGGCACTGTCCACATATGCCATCAAGTGAAGAGTGCCTGGAGCCGGGCTTGGAGCTGGACAGTCAGGAGATTTGTGGTTCCTGCCCAAGTGACCGGCTCTCCCTGCACTTCGGTGGTAGATGTTGAGTACCTCTGCTCACAGCTGTTGGTCATGGCTGGGGTGGTGAGTGGGGAAGACAGAGGGCTGATGAGAAGGGGCAGGCTCTGCAGAGGAAGAAATTGTGGTGCACACAAAAGAAGACGTGTGTCCAACAGCACCTCACGCTGAGACTCGCGTTGTGCATTTTGGGGTCTGGAATATCACTCCAGGGACATTGTCCTTCTTTTTCCCTTCTTGGTGATTTTTGCTTTCATAACTTGCTTACCTTTGTTGCCCACCCCCTCCCCCACCCAGGTTTGTCCACAGCGAAGTTGCCATTTGCTCTTTGTAATTAATCATTGATTTGTGGGGAGCTAGTTTGAGAGTAGGTACATATCATACTCCCCATTTAACTTCCACCAGCTGATTCTACCAGCCACTGACCATCATGCTGAAGCAAATGCCTTCTCGTCCCCCAAATGTATTCATTTTTATATAAATAATATTGTTGATGGTATTTCACTGTTTTAAAATGCCTATGAAAAGCTGATGCTCCTTGTATTTCTTTCTTTTTTTTAAATGTATATGTATTTATTTTTGAGAGAAAGCATGAGCAGGGTTGAGGCAGAGAGACAGAGGGAGAGAGGGGGAATCCCAAGCAGGCTCCATACTGTTAGTGCAGAGCCTGACACGGGGCTTGAACTCATGAACCGTGAGATCATGAGCTGAGTCGAAATCAAGAGTCAGTTGCTTAACGGACTGAGTCACTCAGGTGCCCCTCCTGGTAATCTGCAATAAGCAACAGCATCTAGGGGTGCCTGGCTGGCTCAGTCTGTTAAGTTGCCAACTCTTGACTTAGACTCA